CTCTCTCTCTCTCTCTCTCTCTCTCTCTCTCTCTCTCTCTCTCTCTCTCTCTCTCACACACACACACACACACACACACACACACACACACCAATTCCAGCTTCCCACAGAGTTCAGTCAGCAACATTCCCAAGAGGTACTGTAATAGACTTGTTCCATGCTATTCTGATCACATATGTATTCAGCAGTGGAAGAGACTAAGGCTCCTTTTTGAATATTTTAGGCAAGTTATTGTTGCTTTTGACTAAAGTGTGTTCTATTTACACATTGAGAATAGAATAGTTTCTGGTCCCCCTTTGTCCGTCTTTTGTACTTTTATCCTCTTGTCTCAACTTCCTACCTCTCCAGAAATCCTTGCTTGATGGTTTTCACAGTTATCCAGCCTCCCCTGGATGTGAGAGGTCAGAAGAGAGAGCTGGCTGCTAGGTTCATGAGTCGTGCAGGGCCTGGAGCTGCTTATGATTCAGCTTCAAATCGAGATGGGGTGAATCGCCACTCTCCCGCCCCCCTCAGGTGCACAGAGGTCCAGCTGTGATAGTTCCTTTCTGCTGACTAAAACTCTAAAACTCCAGGTCAGGATGCTTCAGACAGGAGAGGACCACCTGCCTAAGTACCTACTTTCTTCCATACTGGGCTACAGAGTCCTTGAGCACCATCATGGTTTTGATAAGACCTCATTGTGTAGTAAGAACAACGGGTGCGGGGCTGCATCATGCTCTTGGCTTTGAGGGTTTGTTACATACATGTGCACTTATCATGAAGTGTGGGAACTAGAGAAATTCATGAATGGGATATTTCCTGGGGAAACTCAGCTGTCCAGCGCGTACGTGCCAGTTCTCATCTGTGCTGGTTGCAAATGTTTCTCATGTGTTTAATCTGTAAGTGGCTGTGTAGGAAAGTGAGTCAGATCCTTGGCCATTAAAGAGTTGCATGCTGGGTTTCTTCTAGATGACGTGTTGATAATCTGTCTAGTTAATGCCTTGTTTCTTATATGACCATGCACAGCAGGTGGCCAACGAGCCTCATCATTGCTGATTGGCTTGCAAGTGGTAATTGTACGTAGCTTAAATTGACACCATATTTGAATATTTTGAATATTTTCCCTCTTAAGTGGAAAAGTTGAGGATAAAGAACTGTTTAGAAGGCTTCACATGTTGTGGATATAGGCTCCTTCTGTGTGAGGCTAGCATGTGTCAAGTCACACAGTTGTCAAGGTGTTCTGTTGTTTTCTTGTGCACATGTAGTGCCTCTGATACTGCCTGGTGGCTTTTCTTCTCAGTGTGACAGCTCAGAGGCTGGTCTGCAGGTCTGAGATGATCCTGTCTATGCGCTGATGACAAACATTAGCAGGCCTGGACATTTACTCCTTGATGATCTTGGTGGCTGGCTGTGTCCTGTCAATCCTCTTGCTGGCCCCATGAGCGTCTTGGGCTCTTAAGTGCTCTTCTGGGTGCAGTGACAGTAGTATGGCCACACGAATGAGTGAGGAGAGGGGAAGGGAATGAGCTTTCCACCTCTACATGCCCTGTAGAAATGACTCACCAGAGTCTATTGCTCAGGCTTATGACATCACCTTGGATCTTTCTGCTGGAGAACAGACTTCTGGACATCGTAGGCTATACTATGTAGCTTCAGATTCTCAGAAATTAGAGATGTCAAAGTATTGAAAAGACTTTGAGTCTGGGCTCCACCATGCTAGGCTTCTAGCAATTTGGAGTGTGGGAGTCAGTGTGATAACCCCTGTTGGCTGAGCTTTGAGTGCTCTAGGTCTCTTTGAGGAGCTGTCTACCACAGTACTGCATTTCAAAAGCTTAGACGCCGACTATTAAGGCTGGCTTATTTATGTGGCATCCGATGTCCGTGGCTCTGCAAAGCTCTTTCTCCATTAGCTTGTTTTGGGTATTGAAGCTGCTCAGGCGTGTGGTGACAGATGAGGAAAGACTCCTGACTCAGGTTGTGGTCAACTCTTCCCTGTAGTAGAGTCTCAGGATGGGCCAGCTTTTCCAGGCACAGTTGACCCTGTGGTCACCTGTCCTTGTGTCCTCAGAAGGAAGAGATCTGCTAGTGACTGGAGTCAGTGTTGGTCCTGGACCTTCAGGGGGACTCAAGGAATCGGGCTCCTGGAATTGCTCAGGATCTGTGGACAAACCCTTGCTGAACTGTTCGGGAAACCCCAGGTGGGTCCCAGGGCTTGCTTCTGGGGGTTTCTGCACTTCTGGGGAGTTCTCCAGGGGAGGACAGTGAGGATGAGATTGTCGGCCAAGCAGCTTCCCCTTCCTCTTTCTATATAGGTGACTTCAGGTTCAGCTGACCACAGACAGCTGTGAACTACTTCCTCGAAAAGCGAACAGTGAACACAGAGCATGCACTGCTGCTGGCCTATGTGAATTTTTCTCATCCTTCCTCACTCGCTGCCTCTCAAACGCCCCTTTTATCCCCCTCTCCTGCTCTTTCCTTAGCTTCAGCCATAGTGGCACACTTGGGGAGATTCTGTCGGTGAGGAGGGATAGCCAGAGCTGGGCCATGCTTCCTATACTCTCATTGTTTGCTTTGGACTTAGGATTCCTCTTGGCTCTCCCAACAATAATGACTCTTTAAACAGCTAGGTGTGAGAGGTGCAGGCTTCAGCGGCAAACTGTTTCCATAACGGATCAAAGGTGGCTAATCAGTTCTTACCACAGTCAGACTGCACAAGATCAGGCCAGACGCGACGGACATGACACCCCTCTGGTGGCGATCTAGGCCTCGAGAGTGCCACACCTCTGAGAACTTACTTCTGATGTGTTAGGTGTGTGTTGTTACTTCTGAAAGGCCCTGACTCAGTGGCAGAGGTGTGCAAGCAGAAGGGGAGCCATCTCAGCTCCGGAGCTGGCCTCCCAGATCAGTATCATTAGGGTCTCTTGGGTAAGTTCCACCACACTGTGCTCTGGAGACCCCTGAACTCCCTGCCCTTCACCAGATCCTCCTCTATGAGAACACCCTAGCTGGTGACTGAGTTTCCACAGCCGCAGTCATATCCTTCCTGGCATGCTGCAAGACAAGATGAGCTGTAGGTGCCTCAGACCCAGGGGACAGCTGGCGACCTTGAGGAACCAGGGCGATCTTGTTACGGAACTTGTCACCTTGGGTGTTTCTGATGAAGGAAGGATGCCGATTACAAACAGCCGAGGTTCAAGAAGGTAGAGCTGGGAGGGGCTTCACCTAACTAGACCGGAAGGAATCACCGTGAACAAAAGGTGATTGGACAGCACTGTGAAAGCCACCCAGCGCTGCCTATGAGAAAGTCTGTGTGACTGAAAGCCAGCAGGGTTTTTTTTAATCTTTTTTTTTTGCTCCCAAAGGATGCAATGGTTATATGGATGTAGCCAAGAAACCAGCTTCCACGAGCAAACTCAAGGGCAGGCAGCAGCATACAAGCTTCTCGGGTGTCTGTGCTCTGGGTCTCTCAGCTTCTCAGCCAGCGAGGAACCGGTTCTTTACGTGTGTGAGGGGAGTAAACAGTCCAGGTTTCAGATATTTTTTACACAGAGCTAGCGTGGATAAAAGATTAAAGGCAATAGCTCCAGAAATGAAGGCTAACTATAACACAGATGTATTCAGAAGCTGTACATGGGGGTTTGCAAGTGCTATTTTCCATGTTTTAACTTTCTGGTGACTAACTTTCTTAAGTTCTCACATCATGGGGAGACTGGGAAGCTGACAGAGAGAGCAGGCATCCAGTTCTGTGTCTGTTGCTTACCATCGCTGCATTTCTCAAGTTCTGTCTGCCTGAGCCCCAGGGCCATGAGCACTGCAGGGAGGAGCATGGCTGGGAGGACTTTCTTAGGGTCTAAATTCTTTTGGCAAGTTATTCTTGGGGATACCGAGTTAGAGATCCTCATCTGTAGTGGAAGGTTCTGGAAAAGAGTCTCAAACTTGGAATGATGTGGGAAGTTCAGAGAGCCCTGTTCTTCCTTCTCTGGGAGCAGAGGGCCTGAGGTTTAATGGAGGAGCCGAGGGACTCAGGATGTGGTCATCCCTCCAGCCTTAGCCTGTGGGTTGGTGGTAGCCAGGATGAGTGCATCTACAGCATTGGCTGCGGTGTCGTCCATGCTGGTGATCCCAAGTCACAGGTCAAGAGCTGCCACCCAGCTTCTAGATCAGAGGGTAAAGAACCCAGGCACTGGGGTGTCTGATATAAGGCTTCCATGTGTCCAGGGTTTAGAAAACTACTCACAATGATTGATGGGCCTGGAAGGCCCAACTTAATGCCTCTAGGGGAAAATAAAGTTGACATGGAATTTAAATCGCTTCAAATTTCTACTGTTCAACTACTGGTATTGAGGTAATCCCAGAAACACAGGTTTTCAGAGCCTTGGGGGCTGTAGAGATTTTGACAGTTCTTCTCAAAAGAAGGATTTCATGGCAAGGGCATGTCAATTCCCTCCCCCGCGGGGCCCCCCCCCCCCCGCATCCTAACACAAAAGTTTAAAACAATATTCACAATTGTTACATAAGAAGTTTTGAAGTCAGTGTTTCAACTCACTGTTAATTAAATATGTGCATGTCTTTGCCTATATTATTATCTCCAAGAGATAAACATAATATTGCCTGTGGTTCTCTGTAGTTAAAGCTTTTGGTTAAATGGGGAAAGTAAAGAAAAAAATCTATGTATGCTATAATTTGACTTTTACTAATGATATTGCTTAAATGCTGCTATTAAACACTGGTGTGAGTTGCCTGGTGCCTGATGCTGTTGTCCTTGTTCCTTAAGGAGCTGTCAATCAAATGTATCTCATAATGACAACTCTAGCATGAATGCCATTAAACTTACAAAGCAAAACCACCAAAAATTCAGAGTCTGTATCCCTGCACTTAAGCCAAATAAGCCCTTCTGAGGTCTCCCCACCCTCATGTTCTGCATGGAATCTACACTTTGTGATTTGAACTGATTTTCTTAAGTGAAAATAAAATTTGTTCTTTGAAATGTCCTGACTGGAGTGTACTTCCCCACTGCAACTGGATCGAAATTGTGTCATTTTTTAAAGTTTGAGAACACAATGCGAAGTTGTTGAAGTGTGTCGGTTTCATTGGAACTGAATGCTCTATGTGGGACAGACTGAGTCATGATGATGGCAGAGTGACACCTGCATTTGCAAATATTTTCTTACTTTCCTCTTTTTCTTTATTATTTAGTCTTCTTTATGTTTACTTTTGGTCTTGTTCTTTTAAAAGCTATTTTGATTACTTTTAATGCTTAATTACTCTTTGTGTGTGCTTGTGCATGGAGGTGTTCATGGAGCTCCCTAGTTAGAAATAACTGCAGAAATATCCAGCAGTCACCCCTGAAATCATATGCGTACAAGTAGTACTAAATGGGATGAGCAGGTTATATGCAGTAGCAATACACATTAAAGAAAAAGAGGTTATGATCTCAAGAGGGTGCAAGGGGGTTTACATGGAAGGAGTTGTAGGGAAGAAAGAGATGAGGGAAATAATGTTATTATATTTAAATTTAAAAATTACCACACAAAAAAACAGTGCTCTTTCCAACCCTCCTTCTCCTGCCTTCATTTTTTATTTAGATCATTGTTTTTCTACTTTATGAAAAATTACTTTTCATTTTAACCTTAGTTACGTACATCGATACAAACTGATAGATTGCTTACCAGTGGATTTTTTCTTTTACATTGGATGTGTTATCTTTTAGCCTTTTAAAAAAATTTTTTTTGTATGTTGAATTCTGCTTTTTGATTGACTTATGTGTCAGGATGCTGGTCCTATGTGGATGTTTTTATTGATAATGATTGAACACATTTATGAAGTTCACTGTGATGTTTTCATGAGTGAACACATCGTAATGATTCAGTCAGGACACAAAGCACATTTACCTTTTCTGTGATAAAATATCCTGACAAAAACAACGTGTCTTAGTTACTTTTCAATATCTGTGACAAAGCACCATTACCAAGGCAACTTTATTAGGGACTTCAGCAGATGAGTCCATGGCCATCATGGTGGAGAGCTAGGTGGCAGGCAGGCATGATGCTGGAGCAGTAGCTGAGAGCTCACATATGATCCATAAGCATGAGGCAGAGAACACCTCCTGGGAATGGTGTGAGCCACACCCTAGTGACATACCTCCAAAAGGCCTCATTTTCTAATCATTCCTAAACAGTCCATCAACTAGGGACCAGGTATTCAACCATGTGAGCCTAGGGAGCCATTCTCATTCAAACTACCACACACCTTAAGGAAGAAAAGGTTTATTTTGGTTTACAGTTGCAAAGGGCTAGAGTCACTTGTGATGGGGAAGGCATGGGGACAGGCAGGCAAGGTATCCTTGTGGAAGCAGGAAGCTGGCTGATTATTCTGCATCTTTACTTAGGAATGGGAATGAGGATGGGGCCAGGCTATCAGCCCTTAAAGCCTGGCCCCAATGACATACTTCTTCCACATAGGACCTACCTCCTGAAGGTTCTATAACCTTCCCAAATAGTGATGCTGAGGATTAAGTATTCCTACATATGAGCCTATAGAGGACATTTCATGTTGAAACCACATCACTCAGGTATGGTATAGCTGGGTAATATGGTAGTTCTGCTTAAAATTTTTATGAGGAACTCCATATTTCATGCTCCATAAAAGTGAAACGGGTGTTTGTGATCATTGAGCCTAGCTATTTCCAAACTTTTGGAAATAAATAAGGATTTTTTTTTTTACATAAATAACCCCAGAGTTATATCGAGGACTAACTGTGCTTTTCATATGTACTGATGGATAAAAGTGAAAAATGGGACTGTTGACCAATATCTCTCATGAAAATCAATAAAACATCATGGTTTGTATCCAGCAATATTTACTTATCAATATCCAAGAGTATGCACATTTTAGGCATTTTTAAAAATCACTTAAACAAGGCAACTCTGTGAAATGATGGATACGTCAATTTGCTTAACTACTATCATTTACCAAGTGTATGTGTGTCAAGACACCACCTTTCAACCCTTAAATATATACTATAACAGAAAGATTTATGCTTCATGACTGAGTAAGGTTCATTCCAAGATACAAGACTGATAAACATTTAATGCCATTCTAGTTATCTACTGTAACATTAGTCTACTAAAACATGATATAAATATAGATGATATATGGATCTATTCCAACAGCCAATCACGTTGACACACTCAGCAAATTAACAGTAAAGGAAATGCCTGGACTCGACAACATCAAACAACAACAACAACAACAACAGCACCCCAACCTCCTACAGCTCTCATCGTAGTCATTGACAAAATATTGGATGTTTTCCCCTCTATCCAGGGAAAGAGGCAAGGATACAATAAAAAAGGCTTAGCCATTGCAACAAGGAAAGAAAAAACTAAGTCACAAAATAGATCAAAGGGGTAGGACTGAAATGTCTCTACTTGCAACTGACAGTATTACCTGTGGAGAAATTCTTTGAAACCCACAAAGAAAACTCCTTAAATGGTTAAATGATTTTAGCAAAATCATTGCACAATGGGTCAATGCATAGAATATACACAAACTATAGAACAAAACAAAAGCCACTACAGTGAATCAATTACCTTTGTACAGTTTGTGATTTATCAAACCACAACCTGCAGGCATTTATAAACACTGAGGTATATTCTTTATTTTAGAGTGTTATTTCAAATGTGCATGGAAACATCAGACCTCTTCCCTCAATTAAAGACTCATTTGCAGCCTTGAAGCAGGATGATTGGCCATGAGATGCCAGAGCAGAGACCTCGTGTCTACTGTCTCCACCACAATCATTGTTTGAAGGTTACTGACCTGAAAGCTATCTTGAGCACAATGATGCTTTTTAACACTTCCTGCTCCACTGGAAGTCCTTGATCCCAGATTTGTGATGTTGAAACAGGGTTGCACACTATCAAACATTTCACTGTCATGTTTATTGTCTTTAGTGAGATTTTCTCTTTAGTTATATAAGAAAACATTGTGCTACATAGAAGTTGTTATCTACAGTGAAAACAATTTCAAAACAATAAAAATAAACTAAATGCTGTCATGTTTGGAATAAGTAGCATTAGTGGATAGTTTATGGTTACTTTAAGTGAAAAATACTTACCTAAAAATTTAATAGACTTGGAAGTTAGAACAAAAGTCATCTCTTCAGCAAGCCATTTAAATATGTGTTTTCTACAGGGACTGGAGAGATGGCTCAGTGGCTAAGATCATTTGCTGGTCTTCCAGAGGTCCTGAGTTTGGTTCCTGGCACCCATGTCCTGTGGCTTACAACCACCTGTACCTCTAACTCCAGAGGATGAGAAGCACCTGCACCCACATGCACATATTAATATGTGCTTGCGCGCGTGCGCACGCGCATACACACACACACACACACACACACACACACACACACACACACACACACACCAATAAAAATAAATCCCAAAAGGTGTTTTCTAAAGCCATCTTCCTTTAGTACTGGAGGAAAAACGATCTATCCCTAGTATTAGTGGAGCCGGCAGCCCCTTGAGCCACCCATTCCCAGGAGGTGAACTAAACAGATGAATGATAGTTACACCATAGTACACAAGTGCCATTCACAGTGTGAAGAGGGACAAGAAGGTCCAGTGACTCCCAAGTCCATCTTTGGGATCCTGGCTCTGGTTCAGTCTTAGAGAGCGAGAGGCATGATGGCCAAGCAGTCCTGGTAAAGGTGTGGTCCTTCCCATCACAACCCATCCTTGCCTGGATCCTAGTTTCTTCTGAAAGGTGGTCTGACAAGATGTCAGAACTGTGTGAAACCACTACTGGGAGACAAGTTCCTCCTCTGGCTGGCCCCAAGCATTCCCTTCTCCCAGTATGAGATTCCTGTGGCAATCCCAGTTCCCTGGAGATCTCCTTCTTCAGTAGTTGGGGAGTCAAAGGGAGGGGCCCAAGTGTTGCCGAATAGTTCCATTCCTTTCAGGAAGGTTACAACAATGGCATCTTGAAGCCTTTAACCATGGGGACAGAAGGGTGGAAGTTCCACATGTAGGGCACCCATCAGCTGCCGGCAGGGAGGCATGTCTCCTCTGTCCCACACCCCTGGTGACACACTCTTGCTGCAATGGCTCCTACTGCTCTCTCTGCCTCACATGCCTGTGTCAGCTGTGTCCTCGAGGGTGTCGCCAGGTTTTTAAAGGGTTGTATTCCTGTACAACCAGGGCTGCAACCCCATGCTGTGGTCTCAGGTCAGAGAGGCTATCTTTAGTAAAAAATATCTGTGACTATTTTTATATGAATAGAGCTCTTCTGAGGAGTACTTACTCTTTCTTGGGAACATTCTCATTTTGCAAGCTTAAATGGTCATACTTAGAGGTAAGCGTGGTTTTTATGCTATTATGTGAAATGTGACTTGAACATGTTTGACTGACGGAACTAACTTTGAGAGGAGAAAATTCTAGTAAAGCATAAAATAGAAGCCTTAATATATGCATGTAAGTGGTTTGCTAAACTTTGAAATCTAACTTAACCAGGAGATGTGTCGTATTGCTTCTTAGCCGGAAGCAATTTGTGACGCATTTCTCCTAAGAAGTGAGGAGAGAATGAATGAAATTCTTGGAGTTTGTTTATGAATGTTCCTACGTTTGTTACACGGTATAGCTGGAATATAGTACATTGATATCTGTGTATCTTAAGATAATCTCAATGATCTCAGACTAACATATAGGATTTGGGACAAAATATTTTCCTATAGTTTCTTTTCTTTTATTAGATAGTTTTCAATAGATACAACTTGGCAAAGCTGACCTTGCCTGGTGACTTATGGTACAAAGATAGTAGCTTCTGGAAGTGAATCCTTGATCCATTTAGTCAATTAGGAAACATTTAAAATTATTTGCATGCACCATGTCAAGCACTAGCAGAGCTAATGTGAATATGATACATGATTCTTGTCCCCAGTGAATGCAACTATGTAGTTCCAAGGAAGCTGACTGTGATGCATTTAGCTAGGG